ATCATACATGATTGCCTCTAGGGCATATCTCCAACAGTACCCATATCACGGGGGAAGTTAGAGCAAGGACCTTATGGGATGAGTAGGATTCATCATCTTTCAGCAAGTCTTCTAAAGAACTACATATACATGTTCCATCATATTGGTTATCATTGACGTCAAGTTTGTTGGCCGTCACATTGCTCCGGGAGATTCTTGTGGATATATCAGTGTGTGCAATTATATCCGACATGCATGGAAGACAACTACTAGTTAGATTTATGTAATGAGTGCCTGTAGGAGACGACATAAATAGTAGCACTGGACATAACTAGAAGCAACAGGTCTTAAAAACTAAAGGGAGAACACAGATGAAAGCTACAAAATAAGTATTGTTTGTACTCGAGATTAACTAGATGGCACACAAAAGTATTAAAGAACAACAACATAAGTAATCCTGGAAGTGGTATAATCACCATCCTGTGGGATAGCAATGGCTGATGGATGATAACTATGGAACATCGTTACCTCCTGAACAAGTCTCTTATCTGAACTATGGAACAACGTTAACTCCTGAACAAGACTCTTAAGAGATCAGCATGAATATACAGTGACATGTGATAATCTATTTTCCATGCTTAGATGAATAACAAAGCCATAAATGTTGCACAAAAGTAAGATGAGGGTACAATCTATCTGTCCGCCATCCATAGGAGTGAGCATCATCTGCTGACTTGTCGATGGCCCTGCAATTGTTGTGGCTGTCCATGTCGGGCACGCACATTTGAGGCAGGGGACTATTGAGTGGAGAATATAGCTCCCTTCTGGTGTATGCTTCCCTTGTTGGAGCAGCTGCGGTGAGAAGGAAGACATTGTGTCTGAAGATGCAGAAAACACATAATGTTAAGAACGACAAATATCTCTGATCTGAAGAAATCCCCTAAGAGTTCAACAGTAAGGTATGAGAGTGGTCACATGTCTCTTGACTGAAAACTAAATTGGGGTCACAAGATTTTATTTAAATTTGGTACTGTTTGATCTACGCCGGATGGCTTGATGGCCGTCTTGTGCCTCCCGGCTGACACTGTTCAGAATCTTCCCCGAAGAGCCTGATGTCGCTTGAAGCTATGTTGGTATTTCCCCAAAGAGGAAGGGATGATGCAGCACAACGGCGGTAAGTATTTCCCTCAGATATGAAACCAAGGTTATCGAACCAGTAGGAGAACCAAGCAACACAACGTAAACAGCCCCTACACACTAATAACAACATGTTGCAACCCGACGTGTTAAAGGGGTTGTCAATCCCTTTCGGGGTACGGCGCCTCAAGATAGGCGAAGGACGTGAGGTAAATTTGTAGATGGGATAAATATAACGCGGAACAAATAAATTGCAGCAAGGTATTTTTTGTATTTTTGGTTTAATATATCTGAAAATAAACGCAAGGAAAAAGTAGATCGCAAGGCAAATATATGAGAAAGAAGACCCGGGGGCTGTAGGTTTCACTAGTGGCTTCTCTCGAGAAAAATAGCAAACGGTGGGTGAACAAATTATTGTTGGCAATTGATAGAACTTCAAATAATCATGACGATATCCAGGCAATGATTGTTACATAGGCATCACGTCCAAGATTAGTAGACCGACTCCTACCTGCATCTACTACTATTACTCCACACATCGACTGCTATCCAGCATGCATCTAGTGTATTAAGTTCATGGAAAAACGGAGTAATGCAATAAGAACGATGACATGATGTAGACAAGATCCGTTTATCTATTCCGGCAGATATGGATCCCGTATTTTTATCCTTAGTAGCAACGATACATGCGTGTTGGTTCCCTTTCTGTCACTAGGATTAAGCACCGTAAGATCGAACCACTACCGGGCACCTCTTCCCGTTACAAGATAAATAGGTCAAGTTGGCCAAACAAAACCCAAATATCGGAGAAGAAATACGAGGCTATAAGAGATCACACATATAAGAGATCAAAGAACTCAAATAACTTTCATGGATATAAAAAGATATAACTGATCATAAACTCGAAGTTCATCAGATCCCAACAAACACACCGCCAAAAGACTTACATCATATGGATCTCCAAGAGACCATTGTATTGATAATCAAGAGAGAGAGAGAGAGAGAGAGAGAGAGAGAGAGAGGAAGCCATCTAGCTACTAACTATGGACCCGAAGGTCTACAAAGAACTACTCACGCATCATCGGAGAGGCACCTATGGAAGTGGTGAACCCCTCCGTGATGGTGTCTAGATTGGATCTCGTGGTTCTAGACTCTGCGGTGGCTGGATTAAAATTTCATCGACTCCTCTAGGGTTTCTGGAATATTGGGGTATTTATAGAGCAAAGAGTCGGTCCACTGGGCACTCGAGGTGGGCACAACCCACCAGGGCGCGCCTGGGCCTCCTGGCGCGCCCTGGTGGGTTGTCCCCTCCTCGGGACTCCCCCCCAGTGCAACCAGGGCCCGTTGTGTTCCTTCTGGCCCAAAAAAATCATCATAAATTGGCGTGCCATTTGGACTCCGTCTGATATTGAATTCCTGCAATGTAAAAAACATGTAGAAAACAACAACTGACACTTGGCACTATGTCAATAGGTTAGTACCAAAAAATGATATAAAATGACTATATAATGATTATAAAACATCCAAGATTAATAATAAAATAGCATGTAATAATAATAATAGATTATAGATACGTTGGAGACGTATCAGCATCCCCAAGCTTAACTCCTGCTCGTCCTCGAGTAGGTAAGTGATAAAACAGAATTTTTGATGTGGAGTGTTGTTTATCATGTCATATCATGTTCTTTTCTTCATAGCATGGACATTTGGAATTTTATGTGATTCAAAGCAATAGTCTAGTTTTGACATAATGATTTAGATACTCAAGCATATTAACAAGTGACCATGTCTTTCAAAATATCTACATTAAAACAAGTTATCCCTAGCCCATCATGCTCAAACATTGATCCATTCATGAAACACACTCGAATATTAGCTACACGCAATACTTAAGTACGATCATATTGTCCCCTAGTTGGTGCTTTTATAAGAGAGGATGGAGACTCAATTTCAAAAATAAAAATTGCATAAAGTAAAAGAAAGGCCCTTCGCAGAGGGAAGTAGTGATTTGTAGAGGTGCCAGAGCTCAAAGTGAAAAAAATAGAGATAAAAACATTTTGGGAGGTGTATCTATCCCACCAACGAAAACGACTTGGAGCATCCCAACACTTTCCATGCTAGATATATCATAGGCAGTTCCCAAACAGAAAATAAATTTTATTCCTTTTGCCACCATAACTTTCACTTTCCATGGCTAGCCGTATCCACGGGTGCCCTCCATACCAACACTTTACAAGGAATTTATTATTTGATAACATAAAGGAAATTCATTTTTGCATTTCGGGACTGGGCATACCTAATACCTTTGCCTTACTCTCGTGCAATGACAAGTGAATAAACACTTATCGTGAGAATAACACATCTAGCATGGAAAATATTAGCTACCCGTTACCGTTCCGCGAGCGAAACAAACACACAAAAGAGAAGTTCATTTTGAAAATTAGAGATGGCACATGCAAATTTGCTTAAAACGGAAAAAGAATACCGCATATAGGTAGATATAGTGGACTCATGTGGCAAAACTGGTTTAAAGAATTTTGGATGCACAAGTAGAGGTCCTACTTGGTGCAAAATGAAGGCTAGCAAAAAGATTGAGAAGCAACCAACCAAGAAACGCATAATCTCATAAGCAAGCATTAAGCATAATTAACACCGAATAATGCACCATAGGTAGGATATAATTTTCATTGCATGATTATTAACTTTCGTGCATGCATAGGGAATCACAAACCTTAACACCAATATTCTTACTAGAGCACAATTACTCATCAACATAACTCACATATCACACCATCATATCTCAAAACTATTACTAAGAATCAAGTTTATTTTGTCCAATGATCTTCATGACATATTTTCTTTCTTTCTTTATCCTTCTTGGATATCTATCACTTTGGGACTAATTTTCATGTGTTGCTTTTCATAAGCTCAAACAAATATAAGTGAAG